ATGCTTTCTCTCTATTGCAGATTTTACTGTCAAAAACGATACCCACTTCACTGTGCAGCAAAAGCATACGATATTATCCATTACTTCCTTCCTCTTGTAGATGCATGTATGCCAAACAGCGGGAAGGGTACTCCATGAATATTTCTTAATGGAATAATACGTATAAACATATGCCAAGGCATAACGCCGGACGAGTTATGTTTTAATACGCGAGGATAGAAAAAAATAGAAATTCTTAAAAAAAAAAAAGAAGTTTTGATTTTCTCATAATCTTTATAGACATCTTGAAATATTTGTAGGTATTGTAAATAGAACGAATTTCAAATCAAACACTTTCAATTCGCTTTACCACGATGTACAATTTTTCCGTTGGATATAATAATAATATATACCGTATATAGCACTGCACGCCAACTAAAAATATAAAAAGGATATATATGACTAGAAATTATAAATTAAACGGTCTTAATTTTCTTGTTGAAAGCTATAATGAAGGGGCAGCTGTACTTCAATTGACCTGTCTACTAATAGACAGGTATGTATACGTATTTTAGCGATCCCCTTTTTGTTTTCCGGAAGGGTGATATCATATCATACTCAGTAAGAGATCCTCTTATTATTATACGAGTATAATGTATTTTTGTATGCAAAAATGAATATAAATTGACGTATTAAACAAAACAAAAAATACTGTTAATTACATTACTAAACTGTTGTCCACAAATAAATTTACGATAAATTCAATGCTTTAATAATAATTCTCCAGAAAATCGAGTACAGAAAAATTAATTGAATCTATGTTCAATAATTAACTCAAGATATAAAACTTTATTTTCTAGAAACTTGACATGATTTTGATGTTTAATACTATATTTATTGGTGTGATATGCACGTATAATACTTCCTTAGCATTTGATAAATTGGATTTAATTAAAAGGGAGCTACAAGTTTCAAATTTAATTAAAATAGTAAAACTAATATGTAATTAATTTTGTTACTATAAAACCTTAAGGAATTGTAATTTTATATAAATTACAATATAGTTCATTATTTTGTTTTCTATATGTTTATAAAATATTTTATAAATTCTTCATACATATTTGTATTACACTTGAATGTATCGTATACAATTTAATTCAATTTCAATGTTCTTTGAACTATCTTTAAGTTATTAAAACGTTTTCTAGCACTAAAGGAATGTATTTAATACGTTTAATACGTGGAAAAATCGCAAAATAATATAGAAATTCCTGTTTTAGATATTCTATACTCGAACACATTGCAGCTATTTAGTTTAATGAAAATATCAGAAATTTAAAACAAAACGCTTGTATTTTTCATAGCTGAAAGAAGTTATTTGAAAATAAAATATAAAACAAAAATATTTTTTTCACAACAGTAAATATAATGAATAGAAAAAAGTAGTGTTATAAATATTCAAAATATAGCTATATAATTATGAGATTTCTATCTATATCATAGTTGCGTATACAAAATTTCATTTTAATTTACATTTTAATTACTGTTTTTTTTAAATAATAACTAAATTATAAATTTTAGAAAACTATGTTTAATTATATTATCTACATAGTAATATACATAATTAATCATGATATAAATATAAAAAAGTATTATAATATCAAAATTATGTTCCAGAGCATTATTTTTCAAAAAAGCTAATCGTATAAGTGACTTCATATAATACTTTGCAATTCACCACTAAGGCCATAATGTATGTCAAATGTATGTATCAAACGGATTTCCAAAATAAAATAAAATTTCTGAAAAATAACCACAGAGTATAAAAAGAGGTGTGGGTAAATTAAAAATAATTGAAACCATCTTTTTACGTTGATATATCGTCCACCACTCAAACTATCTCTCTCACACACATAATCACTGTCACCTGGACAAGCAGGCGGCTTGTTGGTTGAACGGTTATACACAGCAGTAAGAGTAAAAACGTAGTTATATTTGTTTTATTTTTTAATTTTTTATCATATTTGTTTTTATTTTTATATTTTACTTTCCCCCTCTTATCCTGTAGTAAAACACGATTGCGGAATATCGAACGAAACTCAGATTACCAACAGGCACGAAACAACGACGGAGAATATTAATTAGATATTTTCAGGGGAGCGTGGGACTATATCTTTGGGAAATCAATGAACAAACCGGGACTAAGGGAAACGAAAAACAATTTTCCTATGTACGAGAAAAACTTGAAGCTTAAATCATTCATGTTCGGACATTTATATGAATGTGTGTGTGTGTGTGTAATATTCAGATTACACGATAAGCGTAGCATGTACACATCGTTCATAATTGATTTTGATAGGTTGGTCGATTAATCAAATTAACAACGAATCGGAGATTTTAACGTTCGTAGCGGATAATGTGCGTCATGTTCGACAGCTTCACCATCCCCTACGTAGTCGCGCTGCCATTCAGGGACGGTATCTCACGTAATTCAGGATACGTGGTGCATGCCAATCAACGCTGCGACGAGCGCTATATACCGTACGGTTGCACGTATATCTACACCGTTACCTCGATAGAAATTTACGCGCAGAAAGTTCAGTTTGTTTTGCACGCGTAGTTGTGAGTTTTATACCGGCAATATTTGAACAATCTTTTTAGCTTTGAATGTGTTACTGCTGTGGTTTTAATCCTGCAGAACACAACGCATACTGGATGAGACTGCAGTTCTGTGTTATTGTGTACCTGTATTTTACAGCACAACGGAAAAACAAAAATAAAATTTGATAATGATTCAGAATCTGTTTCAAATAAAGCAAAAAAAAATTTAATAGGATTTCAATAAAATACAATGTAAATATTATATGTTTATAAAATGCAACGTACAATAATTGTATTTATATAGAATATAATGTATTTTTTATCATATATAAATTTATGAAAATACAAATCGAATATGCGTGCTTATAAAAAAAAAAATAATAAATAATAATAAATAATGTTACAGTAACATAGGTAAGTATCGCTATAATGATGTATCGAACAATCAACACGAAGACATATTTTAAGACTGTATCCATAGGCACAATATGAGATTTTTATTTAGAAGGCTAAACTATTTAAAATACATGATCGATTAATACCGTCCGCCCTATACATAAATTGTCACAACAAAGCTTTTAAACAAATAAAAACTATTTTAAATACTATCTTTGTAAAACTTATGCATTTATTACATACATTTAAAATATAATTATTGCATTTTTTTTTTTTTTTTTTTTTTAAAGAAAACCTACGGTCTTTGGTGAATTAATCTAAAATAAATTCTGTAGATATTTTATTAAACATTTCTCTTTCTACATGCATTAATGATAGATTTGAAAATCTATTTTGAAGCATGGAATTACTTAGCTATGTCTTTATTCTTCGAATCACAGAGAATGAACGTTTATTTGTTGCTGAACTGACCGGAATAGTTAATACCGCTTGTAATAAATGGTATAAATAATAAACTATTATTCTATGTAGAAACATTTTTATTTTTCGTTTAAATCAAGATGTTGATTGGGAGGGCTAATTTGAATGTTGGAGGGCCTAAACCCCCCCCCTAGCACCCCATATTGCGCTTATGACTGTATCAAGTTCAAAAAATAATAAAATACTATTTATCGTTGTGCCGTTCAAATATTTTCAAGTTCTCTGGGTATTACCAAATTACAATAAAACATTAGCATATTTTTAAATTAAAAACGAAAAATGTGTACATTTGTAAATAACAAGGTATCATTTTAAGAATTTTTTAAAAAGTATGAAACAAAAGTTTTGCTTTATAATTGGGTACCTACTAATATTTTTCTAGAATATGATTTTTTTCTTCAGGTAAGTATATAATGTAATGTTTATCACGTAAAATCTATAGTCACTAAAAGTTCAGGATTCAGATATTGGTAAATTCAACGAGGGTCGCCTTTATGTGCTACAGACTGTCTTTTAGGCAGTAAAAGTGAATTCTATGAAGCAAAAGGGAAAGGAGGCAAAAAGTTTGTGTCATAAAAAAAATGGTAAGGAGTTGTGTCCACGAAGGGAGACTTCGTTCATAAAAATCCGGAAGCGCGTGTAAATAAAAAACACGAAGTCATAAAAAAAAAAACATCCCAAATATTAAGACCAGCATCGACACAACCTTGCCATATTTACGCTATAAATCGCTTTCAATTTTATACACTCTCCGGTTGTGAATTACGAATAAAAAACTTACATTTTAATCACAATTATTTAGATCTGATTCAATTTTAAGTTATAATCCAATGTCAAATCAATAGTTTTATGTCTAATTTGCATTTTATTTTTATATTACATTTTTGTTAATACTAACATTTTAGAGAATAGTGGAAAATTCCAGTTATTATCAAGTGTATACCTAGTTTAATTGTTATATTTTTTTTTTTGCTATAATGTGCGAACAACAAAGGCAAATAAAAAAAAAAAATTGTTATATAAATAAAGTTTATCGTCGGTATTATGACGATAAATTAATTTGTAATATTTTTCTTACATTATCTTTGTTGGAAATTTATAAACCAATAATAAGTAACTACAATAACCATAACTACCCTACCTACGTTTGTAAATTTCAAATAAATTATCAGTTAAAAGCAATTTTTTTAAAATTATTTGTACGTTATATTGTGATTATACTACATACATAGATGATTAGTGCCCTCTGTGTATTTTAAGAGTATACGCTTATATTCATTTTTGTAATTATAAATTACATAACGAACGAAAACATTACTACAATAACGAAACTACCAATTATATGAATGAGTAGGTTATTAATATATTGGGCGTGTTCCCATTTTTCAACACCTATTATAACGTGAGTAGTGTATTTTGCTTACAATACCAATCAACCGTATGTAATTTGATAGAAAATATTTTTTCTTAGTTGTAAACAATATTTTCTAATGGTTTTCTCGAAATTTTATCTTTTGATTTTAATAAATTACGAATAAAATTACCTGCTACTTGGAGAGTTGCGTTTCGACTGACTTCTGTGCCAGCTAGATTTTTAGCCACACACCAATAGACTCCACTGTCCTGTTCTTTCTTATTATGCGCCACTCTCAGGAAAAACAGTGATCCGTCAGAAAGGATAACTTTCTGAGATCTAGCTCCATTATCACCACCTCCAGCAGCTGCTGCACCATTGGGTGGAATTTTTAACAATTCACCATCTTTATACCATTCAATCGTCGGCTCTGGTCGACCTTCAGCTTTACATCCTAAAGTGATAGGCTCATTTTTCGGTACTGTTATATCTGTCGGATGTTCAGTAATTCTCGGTTTTCTATATTGTCCTAAAACAAAACGAATTATAATTAAAATATAATATATTTCGTAGTGCACAGTGATTAGAATCCTTGAAATATTAAAAAGCTAATAATATTAAGAATATTTTTGAAAATTTCGTAAATCGTTCGTCAATGCGAAATCAATTAAATTTTAAGTTGTTATCTGTATCTGTCATGCTAAAAGTTATATTTTTAACATGACAGAAATGTAAGCATTATAATACTTTAAAAGGCCTACATGTAATTATATTATATTTTGAGATTTAATTTGTATATTTCTTGATCATATTTATTCTATTATAAAAAGTGACATTTAAAATTATACAAGGTAGGTATATGGTAGCCAAAAATACAATAATCTTTAAGTAATTTCAATACCAAAGTGATCGATACAATAATGTCAAGTCTCTAGAGTTACTTTATAAATAGTCGAAGATTAGCACAAACCGTCTCAATGGGGCTTAATCCACGCAAATTATTGCTTGTGTATTATTTATTACTGTACATACGCACGCCTCACATACCTATGGACGACGTTTCATAGTGTAAACAATCTTGGAAACAAATAACCCATTATTTTAGGTTTTAATATATGTACAGTTATAGTATTTAATAAATCCGCGATAACGATAAAATGTGTATAATATCTGCGCGAAGCCACTTGGGAACATCTAGCGGACAATAATGACATCCGAGCTGTTAGAATAAGGTCTGTACTCGAGAGGGAAATTACACCGTCATTAATAGTAACTATTTAAAACCGTGGCGAGCATGTTAACTACAAGTTTCACAACCTGCTCTGATAACAGTTAAGTCGCATGCACGTATAAGTACAGCCGATGTATATACATAAATACCTATATTACATAGGCCATAGGAATTGTATTATGTATACTTGTAAAACGCTCAATTCATACAAAACCTATTTATGTATATTTTCCATTTTTATAGATTCATAATATTAAAATAATATACGCTTTGATATTGCGAAGAATCATCGGTAAGAATATTGGTCGCTGCGCAGCCATCGTTCTGCCGTATATATATGGTATATAAATGTATGTATTTATTTGAGATGTTTATACAACCGAAAAGTTTGGAAATGAAAACAACAGCTGTTGCGACTGTATTTCTTCTTCCGACGAGAGAATAAGTAAAACCTATATTAAAAGCAAAATATTGAATATTATAATATCCACTGTAACTTATTACAATACGGATACATATTTTGTACTCAATGTGTCAGTGAATTATTTTACATTTTCCGATCCTACTGAGGGAGAAATCTGTTCACCCAATGTATCCACTCTCGTTAAACATTTCTTGTATTTCGAAATATCTTCCGAAACGTTCAAACGAGTATTCAATGCATATGACTGATCCACTACTTCCACTATAAATAAAACGGCCAAAAGTTTAGGCGAACTTTTACCATCATCTTGTACCATCATTCACGTTAAATATATCGTTCAAATCTGTTAAAAGCGAATTTGGTTAACGGAATTAACGTCATTAACCCAAGAGCAGACGTCATTTCCTAGTGAAATCTCAAAGGAATACTAAGTACTATTCTTACACACACTAGTTCGTAATCCTCTTAGCTCGTATCTATAACATTATTCTAGATCGTCGTTGTACCATTTACAAGTATCATTAAATTAAACAATAAAATCTATTTCTTATTTCAAAGATGTCTAATAGTGTCTTACGAAAAATTATGTATCATAAAAGATCACATATAGTGTTAATATATAAGATTATTGACAATCAAACTTACAAACGAATATAAATAATAACCAAAAATGATGAAATATTAATTTTTAAACAAAAAGTCTAGTTAATATTAACTGGTATATATACATGATTTTTACTAATTTATAAAATTAAATTTATTTAAATTTAAGTATTTAAACATTTTAAAATAAAAATAAAAAAATAGAAGATAGGTACCTAAAAATAGAAAAAATAGATTTTACCTAAGTTTAATTATTTATTATGATTATTAATATTAAAATATAAGTCAATATTTTACATCTTAATAAAAATAATAAAATTATGTTACAACTTACATTTATACAGTGAAAAGATAATAACTAATCAATTTAATTAGATTATTAAAATAAAATTATATTTTAATTGTTTTAAATATACTGGCTGCAATTATCACAAGTGTATAAATTGTGTAGTAGGATTTGACTAAATTTCCAGTAATGATAAGTAAGTCATGCATAAGAAGAAACTTTAGAAATAAATATTTTTGTGAATTTCGAGGCGCTGTTAGATAATTTATAAGAAATGTTGGTACTAGAAGCAATATAATTGTTAAATAACAAAAATGGCACAGGCAACTCACATTCTTTATGATCATAATATTGTAGTGCATTTCAAAAACAATAAAATATTTATATAACTTTTCAATTTCCTAAAACTGCTTACATGCATGTACCTATATACTTCGTATTCGGCCATCAACAATATTTTACCGATTTCGGCGCCGCCGTGGTATACATTAATTTTTATCACATCAAAACTATTCGTAACCGCTGTCTGTTCTCCGGCAATCGGTAGCACGTATAGTATTGCCCACATATCTAGTGGAATAAAGTTTATGGCGGTTAACTATAGTGAGTGTATAAATTTAATTTTTTTCTTCTTGGTGAATATTATGCAAAACTCCGCACGAAGGGAACTCAAAGTCGAATTAACACGGTCTGTTTGAAGCAACTCGAAACTATTTGTTTTACTACCAATAATTTCGAAATGCTATAAAAAAAAAAATCTGTTACACTGTCTCCTGTTAAATTTCAATTCCACGTCGGGTTCCACGTACTTATACAATAATATTTAAGGTTTTAATATGACCACATGCATTTATTGTGAATTTCCTTTAAATAATACGGCAAAAAACAACCGTTCAGTGGGGCACTGCAATGACAGCTGCAGTAGTAGTTCAATGTTGTATATAATTTAATCAATGCCCTCCACCACCGCATCTCTTCGCGTCTTCTTCGGTCTTCACCATGATTCAATTACACTAATGAAACGAGTTATAACGCCGAAACCACTATTATTTAATTAACGATTTTTATCATTCTCATATGTAAATTATTTCGATTTATAATATAATTTTAATAATAAAGACTGTTGTATGTTACACGACTAAATCGGCAATCTAATGTTCGGGATCTGAAGTAATATATTGTATAGAGTTGTTAAAGCTTTGCAGCTACGATGACATACGGTACGCTTCACTGTATAGTTCAAGCTATTCAAATAATTAAACATGCAACAAAAAGGATTGAAATTTCAAAAGAATTGTACACGCCAAGTCGTAAACATCAATTTTATTTATTTATTATGTATCATTATTATTATTATTTTTTAACAAGCGCAAATGTAAAATAAAATCAACGTTTTTGTATACACAACATTAATTGTTCTTGAACATAAATGACCCTGGATTTTGGCCTGAAGCAAAATTCTCAATTCTCTATCTATGATGGTTTTATTTGTACTGCACTACGTAGGCCATATGCACGAAACATACATAAAATGCTATCCAAACGTTTTGTTTTTATGCGCGCTCTTTTCACCAATATAATTTATCTTGAACGCGGATTGGTCAATTTGTTACCGATCGTATTTCGTGTTATATATAGTATATCGTCGTCTCACCCTTATTTTCGCTCCTATATGTGTACATACACATAGTTTATCGCCGTTTCGAGTAAACCCCACAAGGGGTCGTTTCATGTACGCATATACCTACTACCCTGTGTACATTTAGTAACCGGATGCATGGGAGATTTAAAACCGTATACCCGTGTGCAAAACAAAGACCATATGTACTCGCACGTATTGCATAATACTTAATAACACATGTACGTAGAAAAAGAAAATGTCTACACCAATTATCATGGCAACGCTTTCAATCGTTAATTATAGTACCGATGACACGCACCCAAGCCGAATATATTTATACAAAATCATCACGCACGAAAAACTAGGCGAAAGTGCAGTTAACGTACGTATAAATAAGGGATAGCCAAACACTTTTATATATGAGAATAATTTTATTCGTGTAAATAAAAATGCTTGCTACGTAGGTAAACATATTTTCACAGAATTGAATTGATTTTAATTTGTATGTGTATTAATCACGCATAGTTGTAAAATATAATCTTTATAAAAAAATATGTGTGCCCGTTAAATATACGTACATTTATATTCGTATTGGAAGTTTCATTAAACGCTTGTGTAATTTGATTTTATTAAAAATTCTAATTTTTTTTTTTTTACGTAAATATGTATATATGTGTATATATATAAATAAAGAAAATAATGTATGAACCTATTTTAGAAATCACTTAATTATCTTAAATAGAAAATACACACTCAATTGTTGTAATATAATTAAAAACAAAAAGGAATAAATAATTTATTTTTTTATCGCATTATATCGAGTATACCAGCATGTGTAGTCCATATAAATAGGTATAGTAGAGTTTTGAATTTAGCCAATTTATGAAAATCCTAGTAATATTATACTCTATGGTTTTTCCCTTTGTATTATACATTATTATTATTTTTTTTTCTTATGATTTTTTTTATAACTCTTTCAATTCTTTTCAAGCGAAAAATGTTCAATAATTCTATACTGTTTTACTATTATTGTAATTTGTAAGAAATTTAAAAAAATATCGTTACTTTAATAATAATAATAATAATAATAATACAAAATTAAATAATCAAATAATACATTAAATTAATGAAACTAGAGAAAAAATGCAGCGATAAAGTATTTTGAATATCTCGTAGGTACTTTGATTTCAAAATGTTTGACAAGCTGTAAATATTACAATTGATCACACATTTCATACATAACTCATAAACTATAGTTTACGATTTGTACAAAATTGGTTGAGTATTGTAACTTTCACTTTCTTTTTTGTATTATCTTATTACCTAAAACTTTATTCTTGTAGTGATACTCATAAAATTAAAGT